TTGATAGCCAAAATTAAAGGCATATTGAAAGGATCCTGAAGTTTTTTAGTTCTTATTTTGAAAAAAGCTCATTTCTTCCCTTTAATTCCCATGAATAATATTTCTAATTTTTCAAAAAATAATTTCTTTATAATTTCAACTAAAAATATTATGAATGACATATAATTCATTAAACATTCAAAATTAGTAAAATTTGAACTAAGAAAAGAGGTTGCATTATTTAATTGGTCCATTTTAGCATAAGTAATGCAAAAAGTAGACTGCAGCACAGGAATCAAATATTTCATGTACAAATTAAATGTGGTTGTCTTTTGAGCTCCAACTCAACTTTCTGTTTGAATGCCAAACATAATTTAACAGTTCTGAAGCAGACATCATTTTCTTCTATAAACTTACCTTCCCTTACCAAATTTCTTATTTTTATTGCTTGTATGGATCTTGATTTTAAGTCTTCTGAGTCTTAGAGTCAACTTCAATTATTCTTTCCACATTATCCTTCACTTTTCATGGGCCACAAAGTTCTGTCAATTATTCATTTAGAATTTATTTCAGATGGTGTTTTACAGAAGATTTTGTTGAAAGAAAGTGTTTTGCTGTTTTCTAAAGTCTGTAAATGGGTGGTGTAATAGAAAGAGTCATTGGCTTGGGAAGTCAAATCTCAGTTGACAACACTGCTACTTTGAACGAATTAACTCTTTGATGCCTTCATTATTCTTTGAGTGAAGGTAATAATGCCCCCTTTATGGGATTGCTATGGATTAATTAGCAGTGGCAATTAATAGTAAGTTCAATACATTTAGGTTTTTTTCCTAACTTTTGTAAGAGCAGAGACTGGCAAATACTTCATTTTTCATCTCAAGCATCTCCACAACTTTAAAGAGGTGTTACAACTCAAACTATGTATTTTTTTTTCTTTTAAGATTTTATTTATTTATTTTAGAGAGAGAGGGAAAGGGAGGGAAAAAGAAAGGGAAAGAAGCATTGAGGTGAGAAAGAAACATCGATTCTGCAATCCAGGCATGTGTCCCAACTGGAAATCTAACTGGCAACCCTTCAGTTTGTGGGACAGTGCCCACCAACTGAGCCACCCTGGTTAGTGCTCAAACTTTGTGTTTCTTGAGTACTTATTAATTGATAGTCTAATGAAACCTTTAATACTGTCCTTTGGCTGTTTATTTTAATTACGTACTGTCACCTGTATAATTGCTTTTTATCTCTTAGTTATTTCGGGATCCTCTGCATTTTATTCCCCTTTAAGAATATCAAAATCATAGGTATCAAAATCTTGGCATATCTCTTTTGGGATGTTTTACATCCCTGTTTTAAGATTTTATTAAACATTTTAATAATTTTTTTGATTGAGAGAGAGAACATCACTGTTCCACCTATTTGTGCATTTATTGGTTGTCTCTTACATGTGACCTGACTGGAGATCGAACCTACAACCTTGGGGTATGGGGTCAACCCTCTAACAAACTGAGCTAGCTAGCCAGAGAGCCTGTTAACACTTTAAACAGAGGTTTTGTTGCTTTTATTTTTGGTTTTATTTGGATCTATTTTAAAATACACCATTCTCTAAATAACTAAGAATTACAAAATAATTGGGCTAAATTAATGAGGTTTGTCTTATACTTGCGTTTTTGGAGTTGAAATAGCTATTTCCTTTTGTTAATTTAAATATTTTTGCTGTGCTTATTAATTTGCTCAGGAAATCTAGTTAATACAATAAAATCTTATTTCAAATAAGATAAAACAATTTATTTTTCTAGAGAAAAAAAGCTTCATTTTATTTGGACTCTTACTAATTTGGAACTATATGTTAATATGTTCTGAGAGGCTTTGCTCAAGTTTTAGGAAGACTGTTTAAGAGGGTACCTTCCATGTATACTTTTGTACATGTATACAAAGTACTCTCATTTGCTCATAAACATTATAGATTATTACTAAAAGAAGACCACCTGAGAACCTAGGTCATACTTTATTCATTTTTTTAATAGTAAATTTACAATTTAGTGTTTCAGACAGAATGCCATAATTGTTTCTTCTCAGTTAGCTATTGCAAAACTTGTTTTTGTCTTTAATGAAATCTAAAGAGACAAGGAGTAAAAGTCTAAGGATCGTTAATAAAACCTTTGCACTGGTTTTTAAGGTGATGGTGGTAGAGGAAAGCAAAAAGAGAAGCAAGTTTTCAGAAATATCATTTTGTGGTTAAAAAAATTAAGCTCTGTTGATGGCTCCTAAGTATTAGTGAGAAGAAGGCATTTTTCTTCACTATTTTTCTCTTTTGTTTCTAGTGTTAGTGAACATCAGAATATTATATTGGCTATGATTCAGGAAAGAAATATACCACTGAGTATGCTTGTGAATAAGTCAGTTAAAATTTGCGTATTTGTTGCCTCACTTCTAAAATCAGTATAGAGGTTGTCATTTCAAGTATTTCAAGCAATATATGGTAGGCAGTTATTTGGAAATTCCCAGGCTAAACCCTGAAATTATCTGTTTATAAAAATTTGTTTGTAGAATATATTTCCCAAATGCATGTACTTGTCAGTGCCTTTGTTTCTTAACTTGATAATTTTATAGTAGGATTATTACATTAACCGAAACTCAGAGGATAAGCTTTGTTTATGGGATTTTCTGGTAAATATATTTCAGTAGTATATATGCCTGGAAAAAAGAATGTATAGGTCTTATTTTATTTAAGAAACATTGTTAGGTGTATGGTCTTTCAAAGTGGTCTGACAGTTTTCAGACTATAAACATTTATAGTAAAAACATACTAGTTTAAATATCAGACCTTCAAAAGCAATACTGAAGCACCTTGATAAAAATATTACATGATAACAGTTAAAATCATCTAAAGCAGGCATCAGTAAACCTTTCTTGTAAAGGACCAGATAGTAAATATTTAAGTCTTTGTGGGCTAATATGGTCCCTGTTGCAAAGATTCAACTCTGCTACTTAGTGCAAAAGCAAATAAACAATGCATAAATCATGTTTCAATAAAAATTTATTTAGAAAAACAGGCAGGAACTGTAATTACCAGTGAGTTTCAATTTAAAAATATAGCCATGGCTGGTGTGAATCAGTGGGGTGAATGCAGGCTGGCGAGCCCAAAGGTTGCTGGTTTGATTCCTGGTCAAGGCACATGCCTGGGTTGTGGACCAGGTCCCCAGCTGGGAGTGTGCAAGAGGCAACCAATTGATGTTTTCCACATACTGATGTTTCTCTCCCTCTCTCTCTGCCCTCCTCCTCTCTCTAAGAAATAAATAAAATCTATTCACACCCCCCCCCCCACGTATGGGAACTCTCTGTGATTTCTTCTCAGTTTTTCTGTGAACCTAAAACTGCTAAAATTTATAATTTTTTTCAGAAAACAGAAAATGAAAATAATTTGGTCAAAACCTCCATGGAATCTCTTGGTTTTCACTGAGTGATAAATATACTGGATGACTAAATCATAAGCATTAATTATCATGTATGCTCTCAGAGTATCTCACATTGCTCTGTGTTACAGGGATCTTTTGTAGGACCTATCTTTTTCATTGATTAAAACAAGCAAGCAAAAAATTGGGGCATGCTATTACCACATTTGGTAACATAAACACCCAGGGGACCTTTTTCAACACTTGGGGGTGAATTGTTGGAGAAATTGCTGATTTAAATGATTTCCTTGATTGAATACAAAATAATTCCTGAACAATTTTAAATTATGCTGCTATTTCCCTATTACCGATATATTAATTACTTTATTTGGGGTTCCATCCTACAGTATTTAATTCTCTCCTATGACTATACCACAAAGTATGCCTTTAGAACAAATCAATTAAAATATTTATAATCATTAGCTGTATTGGAATTACATTCCAATTGTATTGTCTGTGTAACTCATGACAGTTCATTTGAAAAAGTAATTTAGACTGATGTGTTTTAGTTGAATTATCTTTAGAAACTTAAATATATATCTACTTTTAATTTTGTTGTGAAGTTTGGGGTTCCATCCTACAGTATTTAATTCTCTCCTATGACTATACCACAAAGAATGCCTTTAGAACAAATCAATTAAAATATTTATAATCATTAGCTGTATTGGAATTACATTCCAATTGTATTGTCTGTGTAACTCATGACAGTTCATTTGAAAAAGTAATTTAGACTGATGTGTTTTAGTTGAATTATCTTTAGAAACTTAAATATATATCTACTTTTAATTTTGTTGTGAAGTATAATCCCATAAAACAGAGGTATTCAGTTTAACAAGTTATTATAAAGCAAACACAAACAACTACCATGTAAGTCAAGAAATGGAGTATTGCCAGCAACCCAGAAATGTCTTACATGCTTTCCAACTATCACTTCTCTTACAGGGCAGACCATAATCCTGGTTTTTATAGTATCCATTTCCTTTCTTTGTAGTTTTATCACCAAATATGCAGCTCTAAATAACATGGCTTGCTTTTGCCTGTTTTTAAACTTTACAAGTAGAATCATATGGTCTAACTTCTCCAGTGTGTGACTGATACTTTAATGGCTACTCATGTTAGCCATTCAGCAACAACAACAACAAAAAATTGCCATGGTAGACTGAAGTAATGGGCCATGAAGCTGTGTTTAAGCCTGTCTTTCGTAAAACTGCTCTGTGAATCTCCTGTCACAACGTATTTGGTGCCTCCTCCTGCCCTTTACCTGAATTTCTATTATGCAGGACATTATTGCAAATACCTGATAACAATCGTGGTGGGTTGTGGAAGTCAGAGCTCTAGGCTTTGAAAACAGATTTCTCAATGTCTCTGTGAGACCTTATATCATTCTATAAATTTTTATTATGATAGGATTGACTTATATTTTATAAAGATTCATTATAAAGATTTTAATAATGGGAGTGTTAATGTGAATAGCAGATACATATATAAACATGCACACTTGTATTTCTGACAGAAGAAACACTTTAATCACCTTAAACTTTTGATTTTATACAAAAAATACTTTGTTTTTTTCAGGTGAAACTTCCACCGATGATGGAAATCATAACTGCTGAACAGCTGATGGAATATTTAGGTTAGTGTTGAAAAGTGGATGATTTTATATCTCTTTTAAAGTAAAACAGAGTTTTCAAAGCTAGTATGTTATCAAATCTCACCTTCCTGAAGTACTATTATATAATCTACTTTAAAAGTATAATTTTTGATCTCTTAATTAAAAATTTTTATCAATATGTTACTGTTTTTGGATGCTACAGCTGCTTTTTTGACCAGGATTGTAAGTCTGTAATATAAATAATAAAACTGAGAACATCTAGAAAACACGATATATATTAATTCCAATAAATTGCAGAATGAGAAGTAGGACTGAAGCTCTGACATTGCATATAGAAAGTTCTTTTAAAAATGCTGATTAGACTTGAATTGAAAACCCAGGAGGCAGTTTATCATAGTGCTACCCAAAGTATGATTCATGGACCTATGCCAGTTTATGAAATGTTAGCTACCAGGATGCAGTGAGATAGGGGCTTGTATTAGATTGTAAAACATTTACATTAGTAAGCACACTGTTTAGTTCATCTGAACTGTTTTTTCTTTTGATTTTTGTTTTATTTTTTAATTTAGGCTTTATTTATTTATTTTTCTTTATTTTTATTGTTGACACTGTTGCAGATGTCCTCATTCTCCGCCCCCTTCCCCTACTTCCCCTTCCCTCTGGCCATCACCACACTGTTGTTCGTGGGTTATACATATATGTTTTTTGGCTAATCCCTTCACCTTCTCTCATCCAGTACCCACCTCCCTAAAACTTTTTCATAGCAAAATTTTCTTGATGAAGGAAGTAGTGTATTTAAGTACATTCTTATGTAAGCTTCTTATTTCAAAACAGACCATCAATAAACAGTTTGCAGTCCAGCTGCATTGAGTAGATCTTGCTGGCAGAGCAGGTAGTTATACATCACACTGAGATATTTTACAACTCAGTAAATAAAAGTTTTTATTTTGGGGAGTGTTAATGTAAACAAATAGCAGATACATATATACACATACAGGAAATCTTAATCCATATTCTCACGTTTTTTTAGTAATTAAATTTTTATTTTTAAATTGTCGACTGATTATTTTGTGCTATTCCAGACAATAAGCTACGTGATTTTTTTGTGAGCTGTAGGCTTAGCGAAGTAATTGAGAATATGCTTTTGGAAGACGCTTTTCTTTATGTAATTAATATTATTTAATCTTGTTTACTGGCTAGGGAACCTCATAGATACAGGTGGATTACTTTGAATACCTAGCTATCTAGAAGTACAATTTCTTAAACCTCTTTTAGTCTAGCTTAAAATTGTATTTCATGGGAAGACTTAAATATGTTTGGCCCTGGCTGATGTGGCTCAGTTGCTTAGAGTGTTGTCCCATGAACCTATAGGACATGAGTTTAATTCCCGGTCAGGATACATACCCTGGTTGTCGGTTTGATCCCTGGTAGAGGTGTGTGTGAGAAGAAAACCAGTTGATGTTTCTATCTCACATCAATATTTCTATCCCCCTGCCCGCACCATACTTCTCTATCTAAAATCAATGGAAAAATGTCCTTGGGTGAGGATAAAGAATGTAAATTAAAAAATAAAATATGTTTGGTGCTTTTGAGGAACAGTCAATATGACTGCCAAGCAGTGTGTGTAGGGGAGGCAGTAGGAAATGATATTAGAGAGGTAATGGGGTCGGATCATATGAGGCCCTATAGGCTATTACAGCAACTTTGACTTTCGCTGAGAATGAGCTGGGAAGCCATTAGAGAGTTTTGAACAGAGAACTGACATGATCTGACTTTGAGTTTAACAAGAATTCTCTGACTGTAATGTTGAAAATAGAACTCAGGGGGTTAAGGACAGAAGCAGAGAGATTGGAAAGCTATGACAACAGACAAAAGATGGTGGTGGCTTTGCAGAGTAGTAGAAGTGGAAATTGTAAAATGTGGTCAGGTTCTGGATATAGAGCTAACAAAATTTGCTGATCATTTGAATATGGAGTGAGATTGAGTGTGGAATCAAGGGTCACCCATCTTTTTTGGCTTGAACTGGAAGGATGGAGTTCACATCAACTGGAACAGGAAAAAATGGAAGAAGATGTTTAGGAAGAAATCAGGATTGTGATTTTTGAGATGTTTATTGATATATAAGTGGAGATATCAGGAAAGTAGTTGGATATAAAAATAATAGAATTAAGAGAAAAGATCTAAATCAACACATACAATGGAACTTTCTGTGGTGATAGAAATGCTTTTATCTGTACTCTCCAGTTTGGTAGCCACTAGCCACATGTGGCTCTTGAGTCCTTAAAATATCACTGTGACTGAGTTAACTGAATATTAAATTTAATTTTAATTAATTTAAATTGATATTGCTATATGTTCATACTGGCTTATGTATTAGATTGTATAGATCTAACTTATAAATATACATTTAGAAGCAGAAAACATACATAAAGTTGAGTTAGACTAAGATCATGAAGAGGATGCATGCAGATAGAGATGCACACCCAGGTTGTGGGTATGAGAGCAATGGACTGAGTCTGGACATGCCAGTGATTAGAAGCTGGGGAATAAGGAAGAACAGGCTGCTTAGCTAGGTAGAAGAAAAACAGGAGACTGATTTCCTAGAATCCAAATGAAGAAGAGTTTCAATGAAGAGTGAGTTATTAGCTGAATCAAATGCTGCAATAGTTAAGCTGGAAGAAGACTTAAGAATTGACCACTGAATGAGCCATCAAGTGTCAAATGATTTGTAACCTGGACAAGTGCATGGGATGAAAATCTGCCTGGAGTGGGTGTGCAAGAGGAAATTGGAAATTCTCATATATACCCAATAAGAATGTAACAAAGAGCTCATTTTGTCTCAGAAGGTATGTAGACAAAGGCAAGTAGAGAGTGGTAATAGCAGGGAGGAAGTTTGGTGTATTAAATTCATCTAAATGTTAGCTAGCAAAGGCTTGAGGAAGCAAGACATAGGGTGGAAAAATTTTAGTAGTGAAAAAGAAAATTGGATGAAGAAATATCTAGATCTGGGTGAGGGGACTCAGCTACTAAAGGCAGCATGAAAGTAATATCCTAAAGAGAGGTGAGGGAGCAGTGATACGAGAAAAGAGATTCTGAAGAATCTGCCTTGCCAAAAGTAAACTTTATTCAGGGCCAATCCTGCCAGGACAAACTGTTTAATTTTCTAAACTATTTGAATTTTCTCCTCTTGAGATTATTCCAGTTCTCTGGAGAAACCAGAGATGCTTTTGAGTTAATAAGCAAGCACTACTAGAAAGATTATAAGAGAAACCATTAATTGATTTCCAAGCACCTAGCCAAAGAACCACAGAGCCTTGGGAATTTTGATTGGCAAAGGTTAGAGGAACAGTGACTTTTAATTTGGAAATTTGTTACTGGAGTAGTAGAGCAGGGCCTTACATGGATAAGGCTTGTTGAAGAACTTTGGCATAAAGAAAGGAACAAGACAAGCTAGGAAACCTAGAAAGTACTATGAGGTCTAATGAAATAAGGTAGGGGAAGAAGTGTAGGTGGAAGGCAGAAAATGGGTAGGAAGGTAATTTTTAAAAAGTATAACACAAATTGAAATTTATGTTACAACTTTACTCATCTGAAATAGTTTGAATGATGATTAGACTAACATAGTATTACAGTAAGGAAAATGGTTATTGGGATGGTGCTGTTGTCTAACTTTAAAAAATATAACTTGTTTTATCATTTGAATATAAATACTACATAGGGAGGTCAATGTTGAAGCATTTTAATTTTGCCCACAGTTGACAGTGTCTCCTCTTTTCCAAATGCCCATCCGGGATAAGCTAACTACTGCCAAACCCTCTCTTCCAGTTTTTGGCCTAATGAAGCTTTCAGATTTTTTGCTTCTTGATTTTCTTTTTAGTCTGGATTATCCCATTAGTAGCAAAGTTGTACAGATTCTTTCTTAAAAATACTTTCTTTTCTCTGTATACAGATATTTCACAACATGATTTATTGCAAACTCTGTTGATACCTCTTGCCTCCAAAGTAGCTTACATACCAGCATTATCTTTTGAAAGCATCAATTTCATCCCATACATGACTATTTGAAAACATAAAGCTCCTTTATGATCTTTCACAAGCAGCCATATTATTTATGATTTTCTACAAGATTATTGAGTTTACTCATCCAGCCATATTTCCCACCACTCTGCAACATAATCGTATGTTTATACCTTCTTATAAGCTGTATATATGGCATGATGTTTCTTAACATGTGCTTTTTCCATTACTCTTTCTCCTCAAAAAATGCTTTTTCCCCTCATTGCCTTACCAAGTTTGCCCATTTTTCTGAATCCAGTTTAGATACCACCTTTTCCAAAATATATTTTTAAGTGCTACATACTTTATCGTTTTTCAAAATCATTTGATGCTTTAGGCATTTATTATATTTTAACTTAATTATATTTTATCATTGTCTTATTCTGTTTCCTGTATGTTCTTTGCCCAACCAAAATATTGTTTTTTAAGAGAACCATTCATTTCCTATTATTTGTTTTAACCATTAATAAACACATAATAGACTCAGTGATTGAAATATTTTGATCAATTTTCAGAAAATAAAGGTTAGATAAGCTAGACAAAACAGCACTCTTGAGAGATTTATTTAGGTATGTAAAACCAGAAGATGTTCCCTTAAAAACTCAAATTCAGCCTTTTTAAAAAAGATTTTTTTTAGTTATTTTTAAAGAGATGGGGAGGGAGAAAGAGAGGGAGAGAAACATCCATGTGTGGGAAAAGCATTGATTGGTTGCCTTTTGAACACCCCCCAACTGGGGACCTGGCCCTCAACCCAAGCATGTGCCCTGACCAGGAATTGAACTGGTGGCCTATAGGTTTGTGGGATGACCCCCAACACAGTGAGATTCACTGGTCAGGGTTCAAATTTTGCCTTCTAAAAATGTCGGGTTCTTCTATCAAATGAAATATGGGATAGAAGTACAGCAATTATGTTCTCAATTATTTGAATAAATTATATATAGAATTTACTAAAAATAAAGCACAGCTTTTAGTTAAATGCTGTATCTATTTTTTTATATATATATTTGCACACATATATTATATAAGATGGCACACGCACAATATGTCGTATGTAGTAAGGACTCAAAAATATTTGTCAAAGAGACTTGCTTATATATCTCTGAAAATCAGTTAATTTATTGCTTTGGAGTTCTTGTAACTAAGCAGAATAAAGTCTTTACTAGTTAGATTTGGGTATCTTAAAGTTCTAATTAAAGTACAAATAATAATATGTTAATGTTCATAGCAGTTCTTTTAGCAGAGTTGGAAAGCTTAAGAGAATACTTAATGCAGTCTTTAGAAGTTTATTTTGCATTAGGAAATAATGGTTGTATTATAAACAGTTTCATCAACTTGTTAGTGATTTATTTGGGAGGCTGGGCAAGAAGTTGGTTTCATATGGGATTACTTACATTGAAATAAATTCCAAGTAAATTAAAGATTTAAACATTAAAAAAGACAAACATAAAATTACATGAAGAAAGCATATGTGAATAGTAGTATACTTTTAGGAGGTGAAGATCTTTCTAAACATGACATCCAACCCGGGAGCCATAATAGAATAATTTGACTATATTAAAATTAAATATTTCTTTATCATGAAAAAAATAGACAAAAAAAATCACCATAAAGTCAGAAGCCAGTATGGGAAAAAATATTTACCACACATATAACCGTAAATGTTTTAATTCCTCTAATTGAAAAAGAACTTTACACTTCAATAAGAAGAAATACTTGTTTAGGTAGGCAGTTCAAAGAAAAGGATCATATATAGTTAATACACAATAAAAAAGGCAAAACATAGATAAAAACACACTGCAGATATTAAAATAGAACTAAATATATTTAAAAGGTTCCACAGTTGGTTAGAGCATTGTCCTGATATGCCAAAGTTGTGGGTTCGATCCCCAGTCAGGGCACATACAAGAATCAACCAATGAATGCATAAATAAGCAGAACAACAAATCAATGTTTTTCTCTCTCTCTCTTTCTTTCTAAAATCAATAAAATAAAAGGTGCCACATATACTAAAAGTCATACATATATTAAAAAGTTGATACGAAATAAAATACACATATAAAAAGATACCAGTTTTTTAAATGTAAAAAAACTTTGTTTACTTCTCAGAATGGCAGACATTTAGAAGACTGATAACACCCATTCTTGAAAAGGTAATGGGATGATAATTATATTGTTAATAACAGTGAAACTTGGTACAACCTTTTAGAGCTTTATTGTAGTAACATGCAAAGATGCTCATATGTATTGTACAATGGAAGAGAAAGCTCAAAAGCATTAGAGTATGTATATTGAAAAACATGTGAGACTAGCAAACATTTAATATCAATGTTCTCTGAATAGAATTGGGGAGAGGATAATTTTATATGTCACCTAGTGTTATAATTTGGAATTAAAATCTACTATCTTTGCAATCAGAAAAAAAGTAATATTTTTAAAAGGCAGTTCATAATTTCTTTTTACAGGAGATTACATGCTTGATGCAAAGCCAAAAGAAATCTCAGAAATTCAACGTTTAAACTATGAACAGGTAATAGAAACAATTTTTATTATAATAAAATACGTAATTTTTAACTTAAGGATATATTCACTGGTCTCTATCAGTAGCCAGTCTCTGTCTTATATGAATATACTCGTATATGCTATATAAAATGAAACATAGATATTAGTCTACAGGCCTATATAAAATGGTAACCTGGTTTGTTTGTTTTTGCAGCATTGACTTTTAAGTGATTTTTGTCATCAATTCATCTTTCCTCATTTAAAAAAATTTATATTTTATGATTAAGTTATATAGGAGAAGGTTGAGCAAATGATGTCTTGGGTATATCAGGATAATTAGGACCCTGCTGTTTCATATTTTCAGTGTGTTCATATTTCTTAGCATGTTCTTTATTGTTCTCTAATATAGGAGTGGTCACTAGGTTCAAAATTATTGGAGCTGCAAGAAAGCAAGCAGAGCTTCCTTTTCTTCAGTATTCCTTTGTTTGACAGTAGAAGCCCAGAAGAAATCAGTTTCTTACAGTGGAAGTAAGGAAGTGTGAGCCAGGGAAAAAGTAGACATCATTGAAATTTTTATATTTACTTTCAAAGTTTTTTAATGTACTTTCACTAGTATCAGATTGGCAAACAGAAAGCAAAACTCATTTCATTATCACAGAATTTCTTGAATTTGAATGTTTAGATAATCTGGTTCTAAAAGAATTGAAAGGCCAACATGTTGCATTACAACATTGTGTAAGGTAGGAAATCTGTAGCTAAAGCCAAATATGCTAAGTCACTTAAGTCCTAGTGAAATTTGTGGCTTAAAACAATAATTTCTAAATATTTTTTGCAATATAAACCTCTTTTGAAATGAAATCTTATGCTAACTTCCAATATATAAAACCCATAAATGATATTTTATAAGTATAAAGTGATATGGTTCAATTTGTATTACTTATTTATCATAATCATATCATTTCTTACTGAAATCAGTGAGGCTATTTTGATAAATACAAAACTTGAAATTATGAATTATGGATTATAGCTACAGTTTCCATTCAACTGCAAAATTCATTTTACTTCTGTTGCACAGTCTTAATAAAATCTTGATTGATGAGTGTTTACAATGTGATATCAGCATTTTGTTTCAGGTCCATCTTGCAATTTCAGGATATATTTCCATTAAGGTGATGGACTTTTGAAAAAGACTGGAAGTAGTTTTGTTTAAAAATTAAAACAAGCGATATCCAAAAATTGTTTGCATTTCTTATAAACATGTCAAACAAAAAAATACCCTGTATTTAAAATAAGCTCTAAACTATTTATAAGGTATTTTGATTATATCATCATTACCTTTGAGAGTAGTATATATCATGCTGATATGGCTGAGTATAAGCTGGTGTTTAATATTCTATAGGTACAATGTAATAATGTTCTCTTTTTGTATAATTTTATGTCATCAGAAATATTCAAGCCTAAATTTTAGGAAAACCTATGCAGAGCTGTAATCTTCCTAATTAAAATCTCTTTACCAGAAGTTGTAATATAAACAAAGAACATATTTTTCTCAGTTTTGCTTAATGATACGTACCATGACAGCGCAAGAAAACCTTGTATTTTTGTGTGTGTTTAAGATGGGTTTTTATTTATCTTTTACTTTTTATTATTTTTAATCCTTTTTATTGAATTTATTGGGGCAATACTGGTTAACAAAATTATACAGGTTTCAGGTGCACAATTCCAAACGCATCAACTCTATTCTGTATTGTATGTTCATTGCCCCAAGTCAAGTCTCTGTCATCACCATTTATCCCCTCATTTCCATCTCCATCTCCTCCCGACCCCTCCTCCCCTCAGTGATCACCACACTGTTGCCCATGTCCATGAGTTGTTTCTTTTTAGTGTAGTCCCTCCATCGCACCCCAGATCCAGCTCTCCCCTCCCCACAGCTGTCATCCTGCTTTCTATCTATGAGACTGCCCCTATGTGACAGGTTTTTAAATAACTGCAAAATATATTGTTAAAATATATTTTATATTTAAATTTAAAATATTTTGCAGTGTTAGAAGTACATTTGGGGAAGATTCCAAGAAACAGTTTAACCACGGGCTTAAAGGAGCCAAGAGTAGTTTGTATGATGTAAGCAACCATTCCTAGGATCTATATAACTTGGGCTTAGAAAGAAGATGGCAAAATATTTACTCTTTTAAACTCTTTGTTCAAAAAAAGATGGAAAAATAAACTCTTTGTTTATAACTTTGTTTATTTTTTATCACTTTATTAGTCTTTAAGGATTATAGACATTATCAAATCCTATCAATTTATTTTAATACTATCTATTAAAAATGTAGAAGATATACAAAGATATAAGCATGAGCCTAGGAGCTAATAAAAATTATACTTCCACTAGTGGAAATTAGGTGACTGGCAACTCTGAATTTAACAAACATAAAAGAAAAAATCAGTAGTGGTAGAACCACAATCCTATACAAAGCTCACTGCTGTTAATGTTTTTCTAAGATGCATGATTACTGTGGCTTAGGTGAAGGTTTAAAACTCTGAAGGGAAAAATGTGAACTGATTTTTTTTTAAGGGTTCAACTTTTGATAAAATTGAGAAATACATTTGACCCTCGAACAATTCTGAGGTTATGGGCACTGACACGCAGCACAAAGAATTGCATATAACTTTTGACTCTCCCAGAGCTTAACTGTGAATAGCCTACTGTTGGCTGGAAGCCTTACCAATAACATTGGTTGTTGGCTATGAACAGCCAATTAACACAGTTTTTGTATTTCTTATGAGGGGGGACCTCCTTCCCCCGCCCAAAAACACAATTATTGTCTGGAGGGCGGGCCCCTTGTAGTACTGGCTTCCCTCGCTAGGTGAGTGTTCTAGCAACCCATTTGTATCAGTGTACCAGTTGGCGTTTTGAGAGGCTGTGTTCAGCCTCAGTGGACTTTTTTTTGAAGATTCTTTGAACATGTTTGCCCATTTCATGATGGGTGATTTACAAGCACATTTGCCTACACTATGCTGAGTGTTCACAGTTTTTGATCAAAAACATCATGACCCCTGAATGAGGAAGATGGGGGAACCCTCCTTATTCACCTGATCTTGCCCCAAGTGACATTTTTTTATTTCCCTGGATGAAAAAAAGCCCTCAGAGGGAAACGTTTGCCAGCGTGGAAGAGGTAAAATAAAAAAATGGCAGAAGCACTAAAAGGCATCAAAATCGACATGTTCACCCTGGCTGGTGTGGCTCAGTGGACTGAGTGCAGACCTGTGATCTGAAAGGTCGTTGTTTGATTCCCAGTCAGGGCACATACCTGGGTTGCAGGCCGGATCCCCAGATGGGGGCATGTGAAAGGCAACCAGTGTTTCTCTCACACATCTATCTTCCTCTTTCCCTCTCTTTCTCCTTTCCCTCCCCTCTATAAATACATACATACATACATACATAAAATCTTTTAAAAAAATCAATGCGTTCAAAGACTGTTTTGAAGGTGTGAAGAACATTTCTATAGGTATATTGCAACAAATGGAGAGTATTTGAAGGTGACCAAAGTTTAACCATGTAAGAATAAATATGCAGTTTTTAATAAATAATTTTCGTTTTTTCTGGGTCCCCATCATACATATTAGGTTCTATATTCTTATAATGAAGTAAGCTAGAGAAAAGAAAATGTTAAGAAAAAGCATAAGGAAACTAATATTGAATATCAACAATAATTTAAAAATAAAATAAAATCATAAGGAAGACAAAATACTTATATAGTATTTACTGAAAAAGATCTATATATGAGTAGATAGTAGATACATTTAATTCAGTTCCATGTTGCTGCTCAAGAGTCAATTGTATTGTTTTGGAAAAACAGTTATTAGAAAGAGGTGAAACTGATGAAAGCCAAAGACTATATAATAATGTTATCTTGTTATAAATTCCTCATTCATAAACTTTAAATATTTGAATAATTTCTGTTTTCAGTCTGTCCATTCTTTTAGAATGGAATTTTATCAGTTATTTGGTAAAATGGAACTTTGTTCTTATGACTTAAATTTGTCTTTCTCAGATTTCAGAGTCCTGAATTTTAATATAAAAGGATTTATTCCATGTTCATCCTTTCTACTGTAAACTCCAATAGGATATAGTCTACTCTTATTTTATATCTTCAATATGCATCACAGTGTCTGATTAACAGTAGGGATTTAATCAAGTTTTATTAAATTTTATGTATTGGATTTTATTCCATCAAATATATCCTTTGTAAGTATGTCCATATTTAATGTATTAAAATTTAGAAAAACATGTTTTAAAATAGTCTTTATTACAGAGTTGTGTGACCATATTTATTGAGAAAAGTAATGTGGACAGAAAGATTCCTTAATTTGGCCAACAAATCTATATGATCCAGCCTCTGTCTCAGACTTCATCTCCTACCATTTTCCAATTAATTTATTTTGTTATAGTCCTGCTGGATTCCTTGCTGTTTCGTGGGCGCAGTATTGAACTCATTTTTGTATCAAAGTTTTTATACTGGTGTCCACTCTGTCTGGAATGCCTTTTTTCTCAGAGTTTCCCAATATTCAGTATTTTGCTTGGCCACTATTTAAGGGTCATTTTAAAAAGAGTTCCCCCTCCTGTCTTAAAAGCAGTATGAGTTTACCAAAATTTAATACAAAATACAGAGTTCCTATATACCTCTGGCCCCCTCAACACGTACACACAGCCTCCCCCACTGTCAACCTCAGAGTGATACATTTGTTATAATTGATGAAACAAATTGACATATGATTAATACCCAAAGTCTGTAGTTTACATTAGGGTTCACTCTTGGTGTTATATGTTCTATAAGTTTGGCAAATGTAGCCACCATTATAGTATCATACAGAATACTTTCACTGCCCTAAAAATCCTCTGCTCTTCCTACATATCCCTCCCTCCTCCTAACTTCTAGGAACCACACTGTTTTTCACTGTGTCCATTGTTTTGCCTTTCCCACATTGTTATTTGGAATTATACAGCATGTAGCCATTTCATATTGGCTTCTTTCACTTAGTAATAATATGTATTTAAATTTCCTCCATGTCACCCTGGCTGCAGCCTGCAAACAGAAAGATCACAATTCGATTCCCAGTCAGGGTACACGCTTGGATTGCGGGCCAGGTCCCCAGTGTGGGAGGCAGCCGATTGATGTTTTTCTCACACATAGATATTTCTCTCTCTTTTTCTCCCTCCCTTCCCTTCTCTCTAAATACAACAACAAAAAAAGGATTTCCTCCATGTCTTGATAGCTCATTTCTTTATTTTCGTGGTTAAAAAAGATAAAATTTAATCTCAACTATTTTTAAACATATAATTCAGTAGTGTTAACTATATTCACATTGTTTTGTAACATCTCTAGAACATTTTTATCTTGTAAAACTGAAACTTTGTATCCTTCATACAATTTTCCAGCTCTCCCCCAGGCTCTGACAGCCATCATTCTACTTTCTGTTTCCGTGATTTTGACTACTCTAGATATTTCATATAAGGGGAATTATATAGTACTTGTCCTTTTGCAATGGCTTATTTTATTCACCATAATGTCCTCAAGTTTTATCCATGCTGTAGCATGTGCTTTTCTTTTTTTCAAGGCTGGATAATATTGCATTGTACATATATGCCACATTTTCTTTATTTATATGACAGTAGACATGTAGGCTGTTTCTGCCTCTTGGCTATTTTGAATAATACTTCAGTGAACATTGGCGTACAATATCTCTTCAAGATGCTGCTTTCCATTCTTTTGGATATATACCTACATCTGGAGAGGCCTTTCTCTTTCACTAGAAACTTTTGTCTTTAGGCTTCCTGGTCTAAAATCAGTCCCTCACACCTGTCACTCTGTATACCTTTATCCTGCTCAATTTGTCTTACCAATACTTGACATTATATTATGTATTTATATATTTGTCTCTCACAGTAGAATGTTAGTTGCCTGAGATCAGGAACTTTTTGTTTTATTCACTATTATATATTCAGAACTCAGATTAGCACTTGCCATATAGTAGATACTTCATAAAAGTAATAATAAAATAATAAAAGGGATGAATAAATTGGATAAAATAGAAAACTAGGAAAATTAGAATTACATGTACTTGCATTTAAATATCTTTTTTGTTGTTTCATTTTCCTTATCTTTACCCTTTACTTTTCTGTTTTCAGAATATGAGTGATGCTATGGCAATCTTGCACAAACTACAGACAGGCTTGGATGTAAATGTAAAATTTACTGGTGTTCGAGTGTTTGAATATACACCAGAATGCATAGTATTTGATCTCCTTGATATTCCTTTGTACCACGGGTGGTTAGTGGACCCTCAGGTAAGTAGAAAATTTTAAATTATATAAACGCAAATTTAGTAAAATGCTACTAATTTGGCACATTAAATCTAGATTTATGTTTTCTGATATTTTTGTGTTTTTACCTGGAATAAGCCAAATTGTGAAGTTAAGGGAAGAGTCCTTCAGACTCCTAAACTTGCCCAAGCCCAAGACTTCTGATTATAACTTCAGGGAGTTAGAGGTCAACTACAAAGTTGAGTCTACATCCTCACAAACACTGTCTGTATTTTTGTATTATAGTCACCCTAATAGGTGTAAAGTTGTATCTTATTGTGGATTTGGTTGCATTTCTCTGATGACTCATGATATTGAACATTGTTTCAAATGCTTATTGGCCATTTGTATGTTTTCTTTGGCGAAATGTCTGCAGATCCCATCCCATTTTTAATTTGGCTATTTGTCTTTTTGTTACTGAGTTGCAAGAGTTCTTTATATGAGGAGAGATCCAAAAAAACCCCAGAATTTATTTATAAAAAATTATGTACTTATTCTTACCTGTTTAAACTTCAGTCACCTTCAAAGTACCCTTCGTTTGATGCAGTACACCTATGGAGACTTTTTTTTTCACTGCTCAAAACAGTTTTTGAACTAATCAATTTTGATACCATTTCTTGCTTCTGCCATTTTTTGTTTCAGCTCTTCCACATCAGCAAAACGTTTCCCTTTGAGGACTGTTTTGATCTGGGGAAACAAACAAAAAAAGCCACTCAGGGTGAGATCAGTGAATAAAGGAGGGTAGCGCTCAGGGATCATGATGTTTTCGGTCAAAGACTATGAACACTCAGCATAGTGTAGGCAAATGTGCTTGTAAATCACCTATCATGAAATGGGCAAACATGCTGAAAGAGTCTTCAGAAAACATTCACTGAGGCTGAACACAGCCTCTCAAAACACCAGCTGGTACACTGATACAAATGGGTTGCTAGAACACTCACCTAGCGAGGGAAGCCAGTACTACAAGGGGCCCTCCCTCCAGAAGATAATTCTGAGTTTTTCTTGGGGGGGGTCCCCTCTTGAATGTCTACATATGTCTCTTTTCAGATCTACGATTTGCAAATTTTTCTCCCACTCTGTGAGTTGTCTTTTCACTTTATGGTATCTTTTAAAGAACAAAGTTTTTAATTTTGATGATGTCCAACTTATCAATTTTTTTCTTTAGTTGATTATGCTTTCGGTGTCCTACGTAAGAAGACTTTGCCTAACCCAAAGTCACAAGGATTTACTCCTATATGTTCTTCTGTAAGTTTTACAGTTTTAGTTCTTAGGTTCAGGTATACGATCCATTGTGAGCTGATTTTTGTATATGGTTTGAGGAAGCGATCCAGCTTTATTTTTTTGTGATGGATAGCTAGTTGTCCTAGTACCATTTGTTGAAAAAAATCATTCTTTCCCTCCATGAATTGTCTGGCACTCAGAGTGATTTACATAAAATAAACCCTCTCCTTTATCCCCATTCCCTTCTTCTTTCCTTAAAGTATCTAATGAAACTAAAACAAGATGCAAAATCCTTATTTGAGTTTTTATGGTAATGCTGCATCATCTAGACTTTGCTTATCTGACCAAATTGACCTCATACTATTAATTCTCTCCCTGTTTTACTACCTCCAGCAGTACTGCCTTTCTGTTCTTCATACATGTCAAGCTCATTCCTTTCTCAGTTTTTGTACTAGCTGTATTCCCACTGTGGAACATTGTTTTCCTATCCCAGCACATTGTTCTCCCAGATCTTCATACTTCTAGTTCCCTATTACTCAGGTCTTAGGTCACATATCACATTGTTAGAAAGATCTTCCTAGACCAACTTGTTGAAATCAGTCACCCTCCATTTCTCTGGTCATTTCTTTTCCTATGACCCTATTTGGTTTTGTTTACCACTTATTTGGAATTATTATTTATTTCTTTACTTGATTGACTGTCATTGCCCACCGGTATGTTTGTTTTATGAGGGCTGGGCTCTTATTTCTGATTGTTTAAGAGTGCCTGGCACATAGTGGGTTTTTAATAAATATTGACTGATGGAATGAAGCATGTATGCAAGCATACATTAACTAGAAGGAAGAAAAGATCATAATAGCCAGGACTTCATGGTGGGTTGTTTTTTTTTTTAATCCCTATCCATTGGTAATAGCTACTGGTGTTCTGGGCAATGAAAGGATGGTTTACTATAAGCAGGGTATCTGTATCTTTATTGACACTGTCTCTGAGAATATCACTGAAAAGTGTAAACGTGCCCAACAATTTATACATCCAAGGTGAGCCACATTGGGTCCTGGGAGATGACAATGCCAGGTAGCCTAGATTCTTGAGAATTAGCTGATGGCCTGAGGAACTTAAGCCTAAGTTCTTAAAAATTAGATTTAGATCATCCCTTTCTGACTGACAGCAGTGGAAATGATATATTTAGTGTGCTGAAAGAAGACAAATGCTAAACTATAATCCTATTCCCAAAAAAAGTATCTTGCAAGAATGGAGGAAATGAAGTCATTTTTTAGAATAATTAAGTTAAGATAGTTTCCTGCGAGTAGATGATCATTAATGGAAATTCTAAAACAAAGATTTTGAGAAGAAGGAAAGTAATCCCAGATAAAAGGAAGAATGAATGGAGAGAAAATAACATGACAAATGTATGGATAAATATAAATGTTTACTGCATTAGATAATATATTTTGGGGTTTATATAAAGAACATTAGAATATGCAAAAAATAACATGAGTTTGGAGGGAAGTGAAGTATATTGAGAGCCTACAATTAATTGTTCAAGAAGAGGCTATAACTTCTTGGTCCAATGTGGTAGCCAAGTTGGGGCTATTTAAATTTAATTAATAATTTAGTTCCTGAGTTGCACTAGACACATCTCAATTGCTCAGTGGCCAGTGAGTATCCTATTGGGCAACACTATTTGGAGTATTTGCATTATTACAGAATGTGCTGTTGGATAATGCTCTTTTAGAATAACTATGAAGTGAATAGAAAGCATAGTGGATAACTTCTAGATTAGTAGAAGGGGAAATTAATCAATCCAAAACGAAGGAAGAAAGGAGAGGTAAAAGAATATTGAATTGATAGTAAAGAGAAAATGGTAGATTTAATAAGTCCAAATATATGAATAATTATAGTAAGTGTAAATAGAACTAAGTGCTCTAGTTAAAAGACAGTGATTCTGAGGATGGATTAATAAATATATATATATATTCCAGAAAGTATCCAGCTGTGTAATATGTATTATATATAATGGATTAAGAGATATATATGTAGTCTGTCCAGAAAGTATCCAGCTGTGCACTATGAAAAAGAGACATTTATTGAAGCAGATATAAGAAACATTGTACATAGGGCAGTGACGCCTCAGTCCCCTACAAAGTAGGCACCTTGGGACCTCACACTGTTCTTCCAATCGCTGTCAGCTGCCCCATTGTATTTTACTGAATCTCATCAAAGTTATAAAATCTCTTCCCTTTCAAAGATGATTTTAGTTTTCAGAAAAGCCAGAAGTCACAGGGTGCCAAATCTGGGCTGTAGTGGGTCTGAGTCAACTGGATGATTGGATGATTTGATGTTTCCCACAAAAATTCTGCATGAGACGTGATGCATGAATGGACGCGTTGTTGGGATGAAGCTGCCAGTCCCCAGTTGCCCATACCTGTGGCCCTCTGAATCATCCAAATAGTTTCTGTGGAGGAATGTTAAAGCTAAACACAAAATCTGATGCAGATTCATTGCTGTACTTGCTCAGTCATTTTGAATACGATGGCCATACAGTACACATGCTCACTCAACAGCGTCTACCACCCCTGCTGACTAGCACAGTGAAACAGTCATCATTGTTCGTGCATGTGCATTCTAGTCTACTCTCCTTGGCTGCCAGGTTAAATCAATGTCACTCAAACCATTCTTACATTAAGAATGGTTGGACTTTTTCTGGACAGACTACACACACACACACACACACACACACACACACACATACACACACACACACACACATATCCATATACATATTTGCTATTTACCAGAGACATATAAAACAATATGAAGTTAAACAGAAAGATTACAAGTTAAAAAGAGGAAAATAAGTAATTCCATACAATTGCTAATCAAAAAAAAGCTGATATACCTATAGTAATATCAGAAAGAATAGACTTAAACTTGAAGTCAAAAAACATTACTAATGATAGATTGTTTAATTTGCTAAAGAGATATAAACATTTAATATTTGTATGTGCCTGGAGATACCTGTAAAGTAAAAACCCTGATTGACTGTTCATTCCTTTGACCCGTGGGAACTGTCACAAAGAGTAAAGGTCAGTTTTTGACAATGAAAAACAAAATTTGTATGCATCAAATGACATCACCTCAAAGTACATAAAGTAAAATTCAATAGAATTATAAAAAGAAATAGATTATCATACTGGAAGATTTTAATATACCTTTCTTTGTAATTGTTAGAAGCAGGAAAGAGAACATAGCATACAGACTTTTTTTTTTTAATTAATAAACTTTTAAATTTTTGAATAATTTCAGAAACAGGAAGTTTGCAAAGATTACAGAAAATTCCTGTATACTCTTTACCCAGTTTCCTTTAATCTTACGTAACCATGGTACATGTGTCAAAACTTCAAATTTAATATTAGTACATTATTATTAAATATATTACATTATTTCACATTTCACCAGTTATTACACTAATTTTTTCGTTGTTTTTTTCAGAATCCAATCCAGGGTAATCATTGCATTTTATCACTGTATCTTCCTAGTCTCCTCCTGTCCATGATATTTTTTCAATCTTTGTTTTTCATAAACCTAATTATATATTCTCTTTATAAACATGAAAGTTTAGATTTCAAGACTAAATTTATATAGATGCCATTTTCCTCAAAAGTAAATTATAGTTTCAGTACAACCCCAAACAAAATCCCAGCAGATTTGTGGGAGTAGTTGTGGAATGTGAAAAGTTGATTCTGCAAGTTACACAGTAATGT